AGCCTCCGACCGCAATGGAATCGCTGAGGTCAGGCATTGAGTGACAGTTCCTCGAGGGCAGCCAGCGCTCCAGCCAGCTGGTCAGCACCCTCGGCGCCGTCGGCGCCCTCGGCGCCGATGCCCTCCAGCGCCTGGCCCAGGCTGTCGGCGCCATCGGCGCCGCCGCCTGCGGCGATAGCGGCCAATGCCGCGCCGATGGAGCCAGGCTCCATCACGCGGGCCAGCCGACACCCCTGGCAGGACTGAACCTGCCAAGGGCTGCGCCAAAATGGCTGCGGAGGAGGGGGAGGATGGGGAGGTGGTGGGGGATCTGGTTCAAAGGCGGGGGGGAACGCCTTCTCGTTCTTTGGTTTCACGGTTCGTTTGGCCCATGGCCCCATTCGCTATTCTGCAATGAAGCTAGTGGCCCGTGGCCTTCCCGTGGCAATCGCCACCATGACCAATGCAATACAATGCACTGCAATGCGTTGCCTCTGAGGGGGACCTTGGCCTACCCAGTAATACTACGAGGTCCTGCCCCCCAACAAAACAACACGAGACAAGGTCTAACGATCAATGCCGTTCATCGTACTCCCCCTCCTCCCCTTTCTCCTCATTCGCTGTCCCATGCAACGCACGCGTGCATGTTATTTCATTGTCAATTCCATTGTTTTTGCGATACGATTTGTACTGTGACCGCGGAACGAAAACAAGACGATTTGGGAAATCGGCGTTTGAGGCTGCAGAACGACCCGCGGGTAAAAAACATGACGGTTTGCAATACGACCTGGTCAACCTTGCGGAACGACTTGCGGAACGCCTGCGGGTAAAAAACAGAACGAATCCCGACCCCCCTCCTGTAGCAGACAACGCCGACTCGGTGTGAACTGTACACTCTGCGCCGCGGGCTGTTTTGCTGGGCTAATACGTTGGCAGACTCCTTTAGTATGGCCTGGTGTAGCAAAACATGCGAGTGTGTGCTGCCTGGTCTGCTCCTAAAGACGGTACCCCTGCTGTGCTGCTAGTACTCTGAGGTTGGGCTCATACAGCCTCCAATGTATACTCACTGATTCCCTGTGAGATGTAAAACAGTGGAGCATTGTCGTCAAAGTACTGCTGCCTAGCTGGCTGAGTATTCGATTGAGTGTTGCCCGGCTGTGTCCGAGGCTGCATGTGCAAGTGGGCATTGTGCGCTGCACTAGGGTTTTTGAGGTTTATCCCTAACCTCAAACAAAAGCGTGCAATCTTCGGGCTGCGAGCCAGGGTTTTGTAGGGTAGCCCCGAACCTGAGTAGAGAGAGAGCTCCTCCTCCTCCTCCACCTCCTCCTCCTCCTCCTCCTCCTCCTCCTCCTCCTCCTCCTCCTCCTCCCACTCTCCCCGCCTCCTCGATCCTCGTCACATCCCTACATCCTCCCTCCTTTTCCCGCCAGAGTCTTGCTGCGTCGCGACCGCGCACGACTTTGCGCCAAGCCGTCGTCCGACTGCGCCTTTCCTCCTTCCTCCCCCTTCCCCCATTCATCTTCCGCCCTGCTCCTTCCCCTCGCCCCGCATGCCAGGGCGTGGGAACGATGAGTAAGGAGAAGTGGGATGGCGGATAAGCTAACGAACAGCGAGTGAGGAGGGAGGCGGATGGACGGACGGGAGAGGGGTGGCGAGGCAAGGCAGGGATGGTGGAGGAAGGAGGAAGGGGAGACGGTGAAAGAGGAAGGAGTATCGCGGGGGGAACGAGGTTGGATGGAGGAGGAGGAGGAGGAGGAGGAGGAGGAGGAGGAAGGATGAGGAACGGAGGGATGGGGAACGAAGCGAGCAGGGAGGAGTTGCACGACCACGGACGGATGCTGAGGATCCCTAAGTTCTGGAATTCACGCATGGCGCTTCAACACCACCTTCCAGTATTGTTCTCGCGTCAGCCGGATGCGGCCAAGGAGCAGACCCAGAACGGCTGCAGCACAGCCGAGACCAGTATGAGCATTGCACAGGCCGTCGCCGGCGCCGCCCCCAAAAAAACAACTGGGCTCCAAGATGATCCCTAGAACGCAGCAGCAAAGCACAGCAACAAACCATTCACATACTCTCTCTCTCTCTCTGGTTTCCCCTGCTTTCTTCGCCCACCCAGTCTCTGCAGTTTCTCGGCCCAGCAGCTCCCCTCGTGGCCCCAACGGCCCCAAGCGGTCGCCTTCATCAGGCGTTCGTACATGTGGCCATCGAGGGAGCGGGCGAGGTTCTCTTCCGGAGCATTTGCAGGATCGCCCGCGCGCGCTGGGTAGCCCGCTCTGTTGTGGGCCCCCCGCGCGCGCCGGCCGCTGCCGCCGCCCACAGACTGATCGTTGGCGTCGTTCCGGGAGAATGATTTCTCGTATTCTCCTTGTTTTCTGCGCGCGACAATCTCTGTAGTTTCTTGGCCCCCCGCCCGCCCCTCCCTCCTCCACCGAGGGTGACCGGCGCTGCACTCGCGTCTCGGCGAGCAGGTGGACTTCCGCCACTGGAGCTCACTGCAGTGCGGGCCCAACACCCGGAATGGGCGTGCCCCAAAATCGTTTGTGCCCCATTATCCAGGCCTCGGAGCAAATCAGCGAACCCTCATGCCACATTCATCTGTCAACGCCTCCCTCTCCCCCTAATGTTCAAAGTTGGCGGTGTGTCTGATGACGCGCACTTCGACCGCAGTCTCCCACGCGCGTGCCAACATTGAGTTTTGGGGGGAGGGGGGGTGTTCAGTACTTGTTTCCCTCTACCGTCTCAAGAGTGCGCGCGAAGACGATGTCCGGCGGTCGGCGCGCACCCTCGTGTTGCAGACGCCGCGCGCAGCTGTGCTACCGGGGAACAGCAGCCCTCAGCTGTATCGTTGCCCCCACGGCTTCCGACGCGACCCGGGGGGCCCGCGGTGCTGTTCCCGCGGGTTTGGGTCGTTGTCCCGATGGACCTGCGTCGAGACCACGAGGATTCATGCCGTTGGTCTCGGGGCATTGCACCCGTGCCCGATCGGGCTCACGGGCGCCAGCCCCTACGCGGCCGCCGTCACTCCGTCTCAGAAGGTCTTGTGCCCAAAGGCGCGGGTTCTGGGGTGCCCATATTTTTCTTGTGCCGTGCCCAATTGGGTGTCCAAAAGCGTGCTCCAACAGGTTCTTGAAGTTGCGTTGTGCCCAATTGTTGGTTCGGATGTGCAGATGTTCCGCGCTGTTTGTCCGTTTTCACTCGGGACACATTTTCGGGTCACAACATACAGCCGGGCCGCTGAATCAGGAACCCTTCTCGTTGGGGAGGAGCTCAGTGTTCCTTAATGGGGTTGTTTCTGTTTTAGGTGTTCCTTCGGTTTTCCACGGGCAACCGAAGCTCAACTTGTGGAAAATAGGGGCCTCGCTCCTCATTTGGGGTTCTGTGTGGCAGCAGTTTGACCGTAGTCTGTTGTGGTGCATATGGTTGGGTCCGCGGCCGGCCAACTCAGGCGCCCGCTCCGTGCGCCGCACGGGCTCCGCTTTGGGCGCGCAAAGGGGGGCCCCTCCCGGGCACGTGTCCAGGCATCTGAACGCTGGATTGCCAGGTGCTTGTGTCGGTGCAGCGCTGCGGCTCGTCGTGATGGCGCCGTGTCGCAACGACGTCGCGCCGCGACGAGGGAGCCCGAGAGGCCCTGGAAGGGGGCCCCGAGGGGATCGGGGGAACGAGGGCTGGGGGGGGCCAGGGAGGTCTCGGGCAGGCAAGGGAGGGGGCCGCGAGGCCATCGGGCAAGCCAGGAAGGCACTCGCGAAGCACACCGCGCGTGAACAAACAAAACAGGAAACTGTGGCTGCCGCCTGGGGCACGCGTGGGGCACCGCGCAGAGGGCACCGTTACCTGTTTTTGACCAGCCCTGCGGTGACGGAGCGGCGCCGCACGGCCCGCGCGCGCTGGGCGGCCCCGCGCTCGCCTGCCCCGCCCCCCCCCCCCCCCGCGCGGGGAAGGCTCCCGCAATTTCTCGCCGAAGACCTTGCGTTGCATTTTCGGGGGACCTCGCCTGTCCCAACAATCGGTGTCCTTACTTGTGCCCGACGCGGGCTCGATGCGGACCCGACGCGGGTATTTGGTGTGGATTCGACGCGGATGCGGCACGGATTCGACACGGATCCGACGAGTCCGTCATGGATGCGACACGGATTCGACGCGGATAGGGCTTCGTTGGGACAGACAAGGTCCCCCGATGATGCAACATAAAAGATCCGGAACGGGTCCCAACAAGGCGTAACTTAGACTACGTCTAGCCTGGTCTCCCGTTGAGTAGCCGATTGGCGACAAAGCTTCTGAAGGTGAAACGTCAGTCCCATCTGGGTCGAGATGTTTGAGGTCCACGTTGCGAACAAAACACGTCGGAGGTCTGGAGGGAAGACGATTGGAAGGGCCCATTCGGATGAGGGGAGGGGCAGCACTCATTTGTGAACGCCAAGTTATTGCGTGGTCTTGCTTGTGATTGACGCTGGCTCCCCGAACGAGAGCGGCCTCCTGGTGTCTGAGAAGGGCTCCCAGAGGCTGAAAACGGCGAAGACACCATCCGACGTGAGTTCTGCTTCCTTTACAAGGCTCACTTCGATTCGGTCGAGTCGATTCGATGTCGAGTTCGCCCGTCTCTCCCGATCCGATGTTGATTGCCGATCGATCCGATGCGGTCCGATGCTTGCAGACAGTCGTTTGCAGTTTGCAGCATCCCGGCGCATCCGATTCGTTTCGATGCTGTGTCCGACGCAATACACCCCGATCGTCGACGCATGCCCCGATCCGGCCCGAGTCGATACTGGTTGTTTGTGTCTCGCGGCGAGGAATCCGACAGCCCACAGGGGGCGAGAAAGCGAGGACCAGGGACAGGGCTTTCGCAGGGATCCCCGAAGCCTTCCGGGGCCCGTAAGGCCCGCAAAGCCAATGCCCATGTCCTCTACTTGGCAGGGCTTCAACGGCGCCCCAGAGGCATGAGGTTGTCGGAGCGCTCCATTCCTCGAATCTGCGTCCCTAGACGTTGCGCACCGGGGTTGCAGGCGGCCGTGCTGCCTGAGATCATGAAGGGCCTCCCGACCGACCTGGTCAGCAGGTGCCCGGCCTTCCAGGACGCCGGCCGCCTTGGCCAAGTCCGCCCCCTGGAGTTACCCCCGTCATTGTCGTCATCCTCCGCGTCAGCATCATCACCATCATCATCTTTACCCTCATCATCATCACCATCACCATCATCATCAACTCGTCCTCATTTCAACCACCATTATCATCCTCATTTGACTTATCACCATCGCCCTGTTTCTCATCATCGTAAGTTTCATTTGTCATTCTCGCCATTATTATCATCGTCCTCCTCCTTTTCAGCATCATCATCACCGTTGTCATTATAAGTATCACAAACGTCATCCTCTCCTCATTGTCATCATCATCATCATCATCATCATCATCATCAGCATCATCATCATCATCATCATCATCATCATCATCATCATCATCATCATTATCATTATCATCATCATCATCATCATCATCATCATCATCACCATCATCATCATCATCACCATCATCATCATCATCATCATCATCATCACCGTCGTCATCTCGAAGGGCATGAAAGGTCGGAGGAGCAAGACGTCGTGTCAGTGTTGCGTTCCAAGATTTCAGGGATTTCCTGTTCTTGCGCGCGGACTCTGGAGCTCCGGAGACAAGGGTAACCAAATGCTCTGGAATTTCTCGGACGCGTCCTCAGCCAACAGCCTCATTCGTAGGTCCGTGCAGATTTCTTTGGTCAGCGCCAGACTCCATCTGCGAATCCTGACCACCTATCTCCTCTTCCTTGCTCCTTTCCTCTGACGTACTCGTGGGGCAACTGCAGCTTTTCAGTGCCCCTCCTCCTCCTTCCTCCTGCTCCTCCTGCGTCAGTGTCCTTGTCCTTCCCCTCCTCCTTCTCCACCCTCCCTCCTTGATCCTTCTTCTCATCCTGCTCCTCCCAGCGGTGTTCTTGTCGCTCCGGGGCTCGCGCGGGGCACCAGCTTGGGGCTGGCGCCCAGATCGCAGAAAGCAAAGGCTGTTTGACTGACCGCCCGTCTACATTGGTAAGACGCTTCCGAGTTCGGGTCTTTCCTGGGAGCAGGCTCTGTCAATGCCCAGGCAAGTCGCGGCTCGGGAATCGCCACGGCCTTCAGGCTGTGGCCATGACGCCCTCGTCTCTCACACAGCAACGTCCGTCAGTCCAAGGCCCATGGGCACCGCCCACACCGCTGGCGCTCCGTCGTATCCCCGCCACGGAACGACCTCATAAGCGTGTGCTCTTGAACCCGAAGAGGTCAGAAGCACGTCAGGGCCAGCATCATGCCTGGCCTGGGTGCACATGCACACCTACATTCACGCACACATGTGCCGATATCTGCTCGTCCGTGGGGTGGTGTCAGAAAGTTGCAGTGCGCGCCCCTGCGGTGTTGGGCGGGGCGCCGTCCTGGGGCCTCGCCGGTGCCGCGCAGGGTCGATATGCCGTCCGAGCCTCAGAACCGACGCAGGCGCCCGAAGGCTCCACGAGGACGGGGGACATCCATCGCGCGCCAGTTGAAGGCTTGGCCAAGTTGAGATTCCATTGGGCCCAACAGCCACGAGCCCTCCACGCTGACTTGCTCGCGAGGTCGTCGATGGTTGAGCGGCGACGTCTGCCTGTGGCGCGGAAGCGAACGTCGCTTGGCGGTAACACATACCATGTTCATGATGTGGGCGAGGGGGGGGGCCTCGGAGGTATTCTCCTAATCCTCCTTCTCGTCATCATCTCTATCCTAGTGCTGTTCCTCATGCTCCTGCTTTCAGGGCGTCGCATGCCCCGCCCCTATTTCCGAATGCTTCGCCCAAGGGGCCTTGACTGTTCTGGCCTGCGAGTGCTTGTAGCGGCTCGCAGGTCCTCAGGGGTTCCTCACCTGTTCATGGGCCCTTCGTGGCACACTGGTTGAATAGCAACGCAGCGCAGCGCGCTGCAATTGCAAAGCGGCGCATAGGCAGTGCAGCACATTGCAAATTAACCAGTGTTTTATGATGCAGTACAAGCCGTGTGGGTCGAACAAACCAGCAAAGTCATGCAACGCAAGAGCATTTCAAGCATGCAAGGGGACGCAACACCAGCAACACGTACAAACGCAGACAGCAAGCACGCGTGATTAGTTTTCAACGCACGCCGATGTAATGCAAATGAAAGGCACAGTCATGCAACACCTTGCAATTGTTCAACACCTCCGCATTGCGGTTAACATCGAAGCCATGCACACCACTCCGACGTAACGCAACGAAGTTTAAAGAAGGTCCCGCAACTACTCCAAACACAACGCAGATCAAAACAAGCAAGTTCAAGCAACATGGTAGCCAGACACGGAATGTGGCACACACTAATGTTTTGCGAGCGCACTCAAAAATAATCATCCTAAGGCAAGGCAAAGCAACGTGCATCAGAGCATAGCCCAGCGCCACCACGTGGCAGTTAACATTCCCGCATACTTAACCTTCAGGATTATATATATATATATATATACATATATATATGAGTATTCAGCTTGCTTTGAGCTCAAACTTCCCAGCAGTCCGGTACGGTGCTTGCTGGGTTGTCCCGGTACAGGCGGACGGTTCCGATCGTTATCCCTTTCGTTCCTCCTTCTTGTTCGTCCCCCCACACCGTCATATAGTTTCTCATGCCTTCACCCCCACCTCATGATCCCTCCTCTTCCCTCTCCTGCCTCATGCCACCTCATTATCCCTCCACACACTTCATCATTTGTCCGTCTTCCCCCTATTTCGATCCTTCCCTTGCACGTTCTCCGTCAAGCCATCCGCACAACATTCAAAGGCAGGGCGACTCCAAGCAATGCAAAGACGGCCAGAGGAGGAGGAGGCAGGAGATCAGGACGAGTAGAAAGATGATGATGATGATGATGAGGAGGAGGAGGAGGAGGAGGAGGAGGAGAAGGTGAGATCATGGGAGAGGTCAGCCTGGGTACCCCCTCTGCCTCTTCTGACATCATCCTCCCTCGGCCTTCCAGGATGGCTGCCCGTTCAAGGCAGAGGACTCGGTCGAGTCTCTCTACAATCACCTGTCCGAGATGCCGGCCTCCCACCGGCTCCAGGGCGGCGAGAAGTCGGAGGCCGCCCTGGCCCTGGAGACGACCTTCCGCCTCGTGCACGAGAAGTCCCAGGAGCTCAAGGCGAAGATGAAGGCGACGTGTCCCGTCTTCGCCACGTCTTGCCCGTTCAAGACGCTGACGTCCGCGGGGGAGCCGCTGGTCGCCGAGCTGGACGGCCTCCTGGAGCAGTGGGGCCTGGACGGCACGGACGCGACGGCGCTCTCGACGCCGAGGCCCGACGCGCAGCTGTCCCAGTCGCTGAAGGCGGGCACGAAGACGGTGCACCGAGCGGCCGAGAACGTGCGGTTCGTGCGGGACTTCCTGAAGGGCGCCGTGCCCAAGGGCAGCTACGTCGAGCTCCTCAGGCCCCGGCCGTGCAGATGGGACCAGAGGTGAGGTGGGCCGGAGCATCGCGCCGCATCGGCGATGCGGTGCGATCCAGAGCCCGAGCTCGCTCCCTGCGTCGCCGAGGCATCGCCGAAGCATTGGCGATGAGATGTGATCCTCCGACCCCATCTCTGGCGGCCTCCACGAGGGCCCTGTATTTCGTCTACACTGCCATGGAGGGGGCCCTCGCGCGGCTGCCCGAGGAACTCCAGCACATCGACTTCGGGGCCGTGCACCGGGCCGCGGCGCTGGAGGACCGACGAAGAAACAATTGCATAAACGTGCGCTTTTCGGAGCTCCGCGCGGATTTCTTGGATCTGCGCTGGACACCCCTCCCTGGCGCGCTCCGCGCGCCAGGGGCGGCGCTGGAGGCGCCGTCAGGGGGGCACAGCGCAGATCCCAGAAATCCGCGCGGAGCTCCAAGAATGGATGTTTATGCAAGTGCTTCTTCCTCTAGAGGAGGACCTGCGGTTCTACCTCGGCGTCCCCCCGGGCGCGCCCCTGGAGCTGGGCGAGCCCTCTCCCGCCACGGCGTCGTACGTCGCCCGACTGGAGGATCCACGGGGGGCCGACGAGGGTGTCGCGTGTCTCCTGCCCCTCCTCATGCCCAAGACCCCCTCGCGCCGCGCAGAAGGCACAGTGGAAGGGCTCGGGGGGGCCAACCTCGGGTCCCGGGGGGCTCTATACCGGACCCAGGGATCGTCAGGAGCCGGGGAGGAGGAGTCGGGGTGAAAGGTCGCAGGCGGCTTCCCCCCCCCCCCCCACCCCAAATCCCTGAGGTCCGCCCGAAAGGCTTGGTCGCTCAGCAGAATGGGGGAAACCCTGGGATACACCCCCCTATCGAGGATGGACGCCCCCCTGTCCTGTGTCATCCCAGGGCGGGGCCCCAAACTTTCCCCAAACTTTCGAAAGCCCCACCCAAGCCTGGGGCAGGGGCCGACGTGTCCCTGGTCTCAAGGAGCCCGTCCCCGGGGGAGGGGCTCGGGACCTCCAGGGGGTCCACGCTGCGCAGAGAAGCCACGGCGTCGGGGGTCTACAGGGTCTCCCCTCCCCGTCCTCGGCTCTGGAGCCCCTGTCTTGGCGAGGAGCCTGGCGAGGATTCGGGGGCCCCCAGACGGGGTGGTGACACCGCACCGTGCGGTGAGTCGGTGGGGATTCGGGCTCGGATGCACGCACGAGCATGTTTTCGAGGTGCGCCGGGGCACACCCACTGAGCACCGGGCACCAGCAGGTTGCCACGGCGGCCCTTGGGCCCTCGGAGCAGGGCCATGGCGCCAGGGCCAGAAGAGGTTGCCGCTACTCTAGGGCGGGATATTAATCGAGGGCTGCGCGACTAACCTTCCGACGGAGCTTGCCCATCCCCCTCCCCCCTCCTCCACCTCATCCTCCTCTTCCTCCTCCTCCTTCTCCTCCTCCTCCCCCTTCTCCCCCTCCTCCTCCTCCTCCTCCTCCTCCTCCTCCTCCTCCTCATCCTCCAATCCCCCCTCCACCTGTTCCGACAGCACATGCCCAACTCGACCAGCGGAGCCAAGGGGGGGAGGGGGGCGATTGTTGCCCCGTCCAGAGTGCGAAGTTTGCAGTTGGGTCGGTTCTGACCACGCTGAGGGCGCGTATCGTATCACCCCCTGGCTGCTATCACTGTAGAGCGTCTTGAGTGCATCGGCGTTGAGTTGCATTTCAGAGGTGTATCATGCTCAGCGCAATGTCGGCGCAGATGTTAGCCTGAGGCTGCGCATGCCCCTCTCCAGCCCTGTGTCCGCAGATTGGCGCGGGTTGCGTCGAGTGGGCCACCAAATCTTGCAGGTCAGCCATGTGAATTTCTTACCGCGGTCCATTCTCAGCACTAACGGCTAAGGGCTCAGGTTTATCTACACCCCGCCGATGCAGCCTGAAGGCAGAAATCGTAGGAGGAGGGGTATGAGAAGGAGGACGAGGAGGAGGAGGAGAACGACGAGGAGGAGGAAGAGGAGGAGGAGGAGGAGGAAGTGGAGGGGGCAAAGGAGGCATCTTGAAGCTGTCTTGTGACTTCCTGGGAGTTCGGCCCATGCTGCTACTGGGCCTGCGTCGTTGACAAGTGGCTTGTTCGGACCTCGCTGTGACCTCTCTCAGGCCTCTGCGGGGCCTCTTGGGGCAGTCCTTGGGACCTATTGGTAGCATATTTGGCTTGTTATTGGGCCTCGTGTTGGCCTGCTGCCTGTCTCGTGGGCCATCTTGGGGCGGAGGGCTCCAATTGGCAGTTCGAGCTTTCCCTCTTGGGTCCTTCGGGAGGAAGACGTTGGAATCGTCTGCGGCTGGTTGGGCGTCCCAGAATCATATGGGAGACGCGCTTGCGAAGTGCCCAGGGATTCTGGCAAATCGGTGGTCCAGTCAATCTAGTTCGAATATCACCATCCTTGCCACATTCACTTATGCATGGACATTTGGGCACTCGCCGCGTCTAAAGGCACGGTTAGCAGGTCGTCGTTTTCGCATCGCATAGCATATCACAGCACGGGATGGGATTTGCGAGGAAACGTATTTCCAGCAAGGGATCACAGCACGGGATCACAGCACAGCACAGCGGCCAAGTTGCGAGGAGTCGGATTTCCAGGTGGCAGCAGCACGCGTTTCTTGACAACGCGGTGCGATGTCCGTGAGACAGGCCTGGTTGCTGGAGGTACCTTTTCGGAGATCAGGCCTCGGTTGCCTTTCGCTGTCGCCCTCGCCAGGAGCTGGTAGCCAGCGCGCCCCACCTCGTCCTGGCGCACGCGTACGCCCGCTATCTGGGAGACACCCGGGTGGCGGTGATGAGGGTGGTGGTGGATGTCGTCGTCGTTCCCTTCGTCGTCGTCAAGTTGGAGCTTGAAGATGTTGCTGCTGCTGGTGAGGAGGAGGAGGATGTGGAAGGAGAGGGGGGATGAAGGGGGTAAGATAAGGGAGACAACATAGAGGCCGCCTCGAAGCATGAGGGGACGACAACGACGACAAGGGAGGGCGACTCGGAAGAGCAGGGGAAACGGGGAGGAGTGGCAGTAAGGTGGGGAGGGGAGACAGTTGCAGGAGGGGGGGCAGCAGAATAGAGAGGAGGGCGAGGAATGGGAGAGGGATGGACAGAGAGCAAGGCGTGGAAAGGGGGAGATCGGCGTCACCCCAGCATACAAATACTATGTGTGCGTCACCCCCCCCAGTGGCGACGCGCGCACCGAGACGGCTTACAGTATATGCGCCGTGGCGGGCGCTGTTTGGCCATACCGCTCGGGAGACGATCTACGACAAGATGGTTGTATTATGGGTTCGGGTCGGACGCACGCCTCCACGGAGGACATCCAGAACTGGCATGTCGTTGTGCGTCCCAGGGGGTGGGGGGGAAGGAGACACGGGCAGGCAGGCTGGCTCGAGGCGCCCACCGTGCGCGCTCGTGCTTGCCCCCCCCCCCCCCCCCCCCCGCGTCCCGCGTGAAGTCGCGCATCAAAGGTTCCCCGTGCCCAGGGTCACACTTTCGTATAGCCGACTGTTCGGTGCTCAGCCATGGCTGCGTTGTAGGTTTTGTTGTCAGCCATCCTGTGGCGTCGTGTCCTCGTTTTGACTGCGCAGCGCCCCGTGTTCACACCGCCTCCTTCCTCCTTTCTTCTTTTTCTTCTCCCCATTCCGTGGCTATTTTGGCTCAAGTCCGTACACTCCGTTCAGGGGCTTGATTTTATGGTAACGGGATATCGCGGCTCCACCAGTCTTCACCGTTCCACTCCGTCTTCTGTATTGCGGTTGTGCCGCGCCTTTTTGTCCGACAGGGCTACGATTATATTATTTAATCGCTTCGCTCATTCCGCCGGCCCTGGAGCGCTATTTGGGGTCTCTTGGGGCCGTCTTAGGGGGCCTCTTGGGGGCTTCTTGGGAGCGTCTTGGGGCTCCTTGGCGGCGTCTTGGGCTCCCCTGGGGCCTCTTAGGGGCTCTTGGGGGCCCCTTGGGGCGGGAGGGGGGGTAGTCGATTGCAGCCACCCCCTCGGAGGCCATGATCCTCGTGAGGGGTGGCGAAAAATAGCTTCCCCCCTGGAGATCGCCCGGGACCCGGCCGGGGATCGGCCGGGGTACTTTTCGTCCGGGGCCCCCAGGGGCCGCCCCGCGCGCGCGCGAATTAGAAATATTGTTAAGTAGTTACCGGAGATCTTAGCACGCCTCTGGCCCGTTGGGCCGGCGAATTGTCCCGCCCGCCGGACCCGACCCGCGCCGCCGCGGACGCGCTACCCATCCGTCACGGGCGCTCGCCCACCACGCATGTGAGGATGCACCACAACAGACTTGAATTGGAGGAAAACGCAGTGAAGGATCCAAGGGTGAGGGACGCGAGAAAAACTGAGTGCTGGGGATCTGGGCAGGTGGCATCTCGGAGAGCTCATGGATGCTTCTGGGAGTCTCTTCTGGGAGCATTAAGGAGCTTCTCAGGAGGAGTACTTGTGACCCTCTTGGGAGCCCTTGGAGGCTTTTGGGAAGCTTCTTGGGAGCTCTTGGAGGCCTCGTGGGGTCTTGGGAGCCCTTGGAAGCTTCGTGGGAGCTTCTTGGGAACTTTGGGAGGCCTCGTGGATGGCTCTGGGTGGGCCCTCTTGGTGGTCTCTTGGGGGGGTCTGCCTGGCCTCTTGGGGGCCTCCTGGGAGCTTCCTGGGGGTCTCTTGGGGGCCTCTTGGGGCTTTCTTGCAGCCTGTTGGGGGCCTCTTGGGGCTCTCTTGGGGGCTTCGTGGGGCTACTTGGGGGCTTGTAGGGGCCTTTCGGGGGCGTGTTTGGGCGGGAGGCTCAAAATTTCCGTTCAGGTTGCCCCTGTGGACCTCAATCATGGGGCCGTCTTGGGGCCTCTTGGACCGTCTTGAGGGTTTCTTGGGCCTTCTTGGAGCGCTCTTGGGCCGTCTTTGAGCGGTATTGAGGGTCTCTCGGGCCGTCTTGGGGTGACCTTGGGGGCCTCTTGGACCGCCTTGAAAGGTGTGAAAGACGAAGAGGCGGATATGTAAAAAATGCACGTTTTCCTAAGGGATTGATACGATGTTTGCTTGTGGGAGCCCTTTTGGGACGCCGCTTAGGGACCTCTTGGGGCGTCTTGAAGGCCTGTTGGGCCGTCGTGAGGCCATCGTAGGCGCTTGGGGATGGTATGTCGGCGTCTTCCGGCTCTCTTGGACCGTCTGGAGGGCTTCTCGGGCTCCTCTTGGATCGATTTGGAGCCCTCCTGGGCTCCGAAAAAGAGTTCTTGAGGGTTTATTGGGCCTTATTGGAACGCTCTTGGGCCGTCTTTGAGCTGTCTAGAGGGTTTCTCGGGCCGTCTTGGGATGATCGTGGGGGCCTCTTGGACCGCCGTGACAGGTGTGAAAGACGAAGAGGCGGATATGTTAAAAATGCACGGTTTTCCAAAGGGAATGGGACGATTTTTGCTAGTGGGAGCCCCCTTGGGACGCCGCTTAGGGACCTCTTAGGGACCTCTTGGGGCGTCTTGAAGGCCTGTTGGGCCGTCTTGAGGGCACCGTAGGCGTTTGGGAGTGATACTCCGGCGTCTCTCGGCTCTCTTGGACCGTCTCGAAAGTTTCTCGGGCCCCTCTTGGACCGATTTGGAGCACTCCTGGGCTCCGAAAAAGAGTTCTTGAGGGTTTCTTTGGCCTTCTTGGAGCGCTCTTGGGCCGTCTTTGAGCGGTCTGGAGGGTCTCTCGGGCCGTCTTGGGGTGATCTTGGGGGCCTCTTGGACCGCCTTGAAAGGTAAGAAAGACGAAAAGGCGGATATGTAAAAAATATACGTTTTCCTGAGGGATATGTAAAAGACGTACGTTTTCCTTAGGGAATGAGACGATTTTTGTTTGTGGGAGCCCTCTTGGGGCGCCGCTTAGGGACCTCTTGGGGCGTCTTGAAGGCCTGTTGGGCCGTCGTGAGGCCATCGTAGGCGCTTGGGGATGGTACATCGGCGTCTCCCGGCTCTCTTGGACCGTCTGGAGGGCTTCTCGGGCTCCTCTTGGACCGATTTGGAGCCCTCCTGGGCTCCGAAAAAGAGTTCTTGAGGGTTTATTGGGCCTTATTGGAACGCTCGTGGGCCGTCTTTGAGCTGTCCAGAGGGTATATCGGGCCGTCTTGGGGTGATCGTGGGGGCCTCTTGGACCGCCGTGACAGGTGTGAAAGACGAAGAGGCGGATATGTTAAAAAAATGCACGGTTTTCGAAGGGAATGGGACGATTTTTGCTAGTGGGAGCCCTCTTGGGACGCCGCTTAGGGACCTCTTAGGGACCTCTTGGGGCGTCTTGAAGGCCTGTTGGGCCGTCTTGAGGCCACCGTAGGCGTTTGGGAGTGATATTCGGGTGTCTCCTGGCTCTTTTGGACCGTCTGGAAAGCTTCTCGGGGCCCTCTTGGACCGATTTGGAGCACTCCTGGGCTCCGAAAAAGAGTTCTTCAGGGTTCATTGGGCCTTCTTGCAGCGCTTTTGGGCCGTCTTTGAGCGGTCTTGAGGGTCTCTCGGGCCGTCTTGGGGTGATCTTGGGGGCCTCTTGGGCCGCCTTGAAAGGTGTGAAAGACGAAGAGGCGGATATGTTAAAAATGTACGTTTTCCTGCGGGAATGGGACGATTTTTTCCTTGTGGGAGCCCTCTTGGGGCGCCTCTTAGGGACCTCTTGGGGCGTCTTGAAGGCCTGTTGGGCCGTCTTGAGGCCATCGCAGGCGCTTGGGAGTGATATTTCGGCGTCTCCCTGGACCGTCTGGAGGGCTTCTCGGGCCTCTCTTGGACCGTTTCGAGCCCTCCTGGGCTCCGACAAGGGACCTTGCCGGGAGTCTGCCGGGAGTCTGCCGGGAGTCTGCCGGGACCTTGCCGGGAGTCTGCCGGGACCTTGCCGGGGTACTTCTCGTCCGGGGACCCCCAGGGCCCGCCCCGCGCGCGCGAACTAGAACTATTGTTGAGCAGTTACCGGAGATCTTAGCACGCCTCTGGCCCGTTGGACCGGCAACTTTACGCATGTGTCCAGCACGATCGGCTCGATGGAGTTTGCTCGTCCTTCTCCTCGGGGTTCCGAGTGCATGCCTTGGGTCGATGGTCAGAGACCGCGTGTAAGGCCAATTGGAGATACCTCCTTTGCGGTTGTGGAAAGCACCCTCGCTCGTTCCGTTGGTGCAAGCATTGCGGCTCGTGGATATCCAAAGAACCCATGGCCACAGAGTTCGCCATCGAGTCCGACTCACGTTGGTCTGCTCGTCCGCTCGCCATTGCCGAATTTGGTATTCCCGGTTTTCTCGGCGCAAGAGTTGGAAGCAATGGGCTTGGCAGCGACCGGTCCAGGAGAGAAAGTGTTGCCTTCAGCGTGCAAGGAACGTTTGGGTGAGCTGAACAAGAAGCCACCGCAATGGCAGCAGCGTTCGCCCAGACGGTTGCTTCGGGCCCCCTTGCGGATCTTCTTGCCGCTCCCGATTTGCAGCCAAAGTTATCTTTGGAGTTGTTGTTGGAAGGCAAGCTGGACAGAGTCACAACCGACCCTGGTGCGGTCTTCGACTTTTGGAAGCGGATAAGGGTTGGACAACGAGGAGCTGGAAGTTGCTGGGCAGCGGCGGAAGCCACCTCACCGATCGATCACAAGGTGTCGCGCGCAACCCGTTCGCTGACGCGGGCCCATAAGGCTTCAAAAGCGAGAGACGAACGCGACAAGCTCAAGGCCCGCTTGGCCGCCAAGAAGTGGAGAGGAGTTGATGAAGATCCTGCGCCCGCGGGAGACACTAAGGGCACCTCCTCCGACGCGCCCGTCGATGGTGCTCCTGTGGGTGGTGGAGGTTCGGCATCAAGG